ACGTCAGCAGCAGCAGCAGCAGCAGCAGCAGCAGCAGCTAGCAGCAGCAGCAGCAGCAGCAGCAGCAGCAGCAGCAGCAGCAGTAGCAGCAGCAGCAGAGCAGCGCAGCAGCATCAGCAGCAGCAGCAGCAGCAGCCCGCAGCAGTACAATAGCATCAGCAGCAGCAGCAGCAGCAGCAGCCGCAGCATGTTTCCTTACAGTTGACTCGATGACTGTCTGTTGAGAAACTCCGCCTTGTTCCTGCGTATCGCCGCAAAGTCTTTCGCCTCGACGCACTCATAAAGGTTGTGGTCGCCGCCGCAGTTAAAGCACTGCCGTCGTGACTTCCTGCAATCACAGAGGGAGCCAGCGTCATGTCGCGCGGTCGCTGCGGGCAACGCAACAAGTGGCGTGCAGACGAGCATGCCTAAACTAGACGAGTTTCCATCGCAGCTTCACTCGTTAGTGTGTTGTGGATGAGGAGAGATGAGGAGGCTGGATTAATAATGATGAAGGGGAGATGATCAAGAGATGGATGGAGGGATAGAGAGATGAATGGAGGGATTGAGAGATGGATGGAGAGATAGAGAGATGGATGGAGGGATAGAGAGATGGATGGAGGGATAGAGAGATGGATGGAGGGATAGAGAGATGATGGGGTGAATGGATGGAGGGATGGAGGGATAGAGAGATGAGGGGTGAATGGATGGAGGGATGGAGGGATAGAGAGATAAGGAGGATGGAGGGATCACAATGATAGATGACAATTATGGAGAGATAGAGGGGTATACAAACAACAATGATGGGGAGATGACAAGGCAGCATCCACTTACCCTTGCTTTGGCTTGGGCGTCAACCCTTCCTCGTTCTCCTCCTCCGTGGGAGGGATGAAACCATCCACGGCTCGATCGTATCTAATAAAATCAAGTCAAGAAGCCTACGTGTCTCGCCACCAGGTGGCCCCACAGTCACACTATGGTAATGACCCACCCGGATTACTAAAGCTGAAAATTTGTCGTGCTCGGCAAAAAAAGCTCTGTGTCACTTTACGACACATCGCTCGTTCCCTGATGCTTAAGACTGCAACCCAAAGCAGAGTGTGAAATTAACGCGAGTCTGGAGTCAAATACTCCCTGAATTACTGTTGGACTCCCTGATTTGACATATGCAGGAGTCTGTGTGACTCCCAGAAATTCTGCTATACTAACTAGTTCATTCCAGAGCACGGCCTCGCGGAATGACCACGAGATTTTTTCAGCAAATGTCCAAAGACAATTTGGCAGACGTGCAACTGCATGAATCTTCAAAATAAGCAAATGCGTTATTGTTAATATCTTTAGTTTTAAACTTCAGACTGCAGACTCCTTCATTTTGCTGCGAACACCCTCTTTTTGAGGGCAGGGAGTCCATTTGACTCCTTGTTCACAAGTTATTTTCTACCCATGCACATCCTGGTGGAGTAGAGAAGCCAACTACACCAACTGAACATGAAGATTCCATTTGCTCGCTTATCATGTGGGATTCACACCCCTCGAGCTATGAGCACCTTCTTTCCACCTCCTGAGGCAAAGAAGATACCCGACCACCTTCGCATAAAAATTACCGACGTGACACCGTGGAATATTACCGACGCTTGCTTGAGTGATCGCAGCGTATTTAGCGATGCTTTGATGAGCGTGTATTGCTGCGCGCGCACGGCAATGGAAGGATACGAGGGGACGGTGGAGCCAGTGATGTGACCACTCATATCGATTGAGTACTGACGAAAAATCTGCAGACAACCCAACACCTGCAATGCAGAGAGGAAACGCTCGTTAAAACATGGTATACGCGCGCTACATGCACATACGCTACACGCACGCGCGCTACACGCACCCACACACTCGACTTAAACCTGCTACTGATGCGTGATTTACTGATCTACTCTACTGCTAGCGCAGCAAGCAGACGAGGCGACTCGCTGATTGAGCAATCGTACTTACAGCACTCATGTCATGCAGCTTCCCACGCTCGTGGCAAACATCCGTGTAGGAAACCTTCTAGAACGGACAACGCAAACAGATATCAGCATCGCGCACGAGAATGGTGAACATAAGCCGGCTCTAGCCCCGCGAAAAAACTTGATTAGACTATTTATTAGGCGCGGAATGATGTGCGCCAACCCCACATATTCATACAGTTGTTGAGAATGTGGTAAAACAATGTTAGAAAACAACTATTTAGAATTTCAATTGCAGAGGCCATATAAATATAACAGCTCTCATGATGGCCTAGACTTTAATGAAATACAAACTTTGTGCCTTGTATCCTCCAATCAACAATTAGTTAACAATCCCTTGTATCCTCCAATCAACAATTAGTTAACAATCCCTTGCATGATGCAAAAGCAGCAAATATTTTGCCTTTCAGACCCAAGAAGCACAAGTTCAATTTCAAGGGCATTCTGGGACTAAACACAATAATAACAAAATTTCCATAACTTTCTAGGATCACAGCCTATTTTCCAAGACCTTCCAGTCTCTGAAAATGGTATTTTAAAATTCAGGTTGACGTGTACGGACTGTGAGTGAGCTACCTTAGACTCGTCATTGACCGCCATGACAGGGGAGATAACGGTCGTGTCACGCCGCATCAAATCTCCAAGCAGTGCCTCGACCTCGTGTCTGTAATTACTAATTTAAACAGATGTAAAATCAACAACTAATAATACCTATTAATTATATAGTTATTATTAGCGCTCAATAAAATGTATCCCACACATGTATAAGAATTTTTGCTGTTTTTTGTTCACAGATTTCTCCGTTTTGCAGCGATTCTATTATTTTCACGCATCTCCACTATGCAGGGCTTGAAGCTAACCGAAATTCTTTATTGGCCAACATGGTAATAGTGATCTGTAAAATCTACCAGCCCTTAACTCTCTGGAGTGTGGTGCTGAAGTGCCATGGCAGGCAGTTAGCTGCGCACAGGAGAAGAGTATGAGTGGGTGGGTATGGGAGGGGGTGGTCCCGAAAACAATTTTCATTTAGACTAGTTATCTGACATGCATTCCGAGGCTTAGGTATAGGATTTATTTTACATCAACATTAGAAAGCCAGCAAAAATTCATTAAAATGAAATTGAACCCATGTAGTATTTATATTTTTTGTTATATGATAATATGTCTTGCGGTAATACTCGTCTATTTACGGATATATACATACTTGGCATTGAAGTTGTTCATAAATAAAACCTGAAAAACTGGTCCCTCTTCGTTCTTTCCTAGAGTTCTGTAAAGATTGACATGACTCAATCAGTGAAAATAGAGGCGAGGTTGTTACGAGGGGAATTGCTGAAAGAATGAGCGCGATTCATTTTTTAGATACTTGTAAGTGCAAAATGACTAGCTGCAAATAAATGACTCATAGATACCTTGGCATTTCGATGTGTCGTGTTAATTGAGTCAGTCTTTCATGTAAACTCACTGTAAGGAAACTGAAATTCAAAGTACGAACAAATTTTGTGCAAGCTCTGTGAATTTTCTTACAATCATTCGACGTTGAATAAAATTTTGCACATTCTAGGAATTCCATCTAACGGTCAGTTCAACATAATGAGAGGACAAAATGCTTTTAAGACTATGAGAGCACCTCAGTTAAATAGAAAAGCTCTTCAATCCTTACAACTCCCACAACTCCCCATCAACTCCAACAGATCACACGTCGTAATTCGCCTCTTCAGGCTTCTCGACGTACATATCAAGATCAATGCATAGTATACATTGGCCAGAGCAGATATATTGGGATTTAAATGTGTAACTACAATTGCGATAGTTACACAAATAGCAAGAGCCAATATAGCTCTAGTACTATAGCAAGAGCCAATAAAGACCGACCTCCTACCAAAAACACATAAAGGATATTCTCTTTGCGCGTTGTCTCTAGCTCCGAAACGCATGCTCGCAATTTACGCTTCAGCACTTCGACTTGAGTGCTGCCCTCTGCTTCCGTCTCGCAGCCGTAGTTCCGTGTTCTCGCGAGCCCTCTATCTGCCGTCGAAGACGAGACGGCCGAAGCGGAGTTGCCATTCAGTGAGCCGGACACGCACGGATTGTCGATTTCCGACACGCTTCCTTCCGCCCCGGAATCACTCTCCATGGGAAGACGATCAGACTGAGACGGCAACTTGCTGGCATTCGGACAAGCGAAGGATTCGTCGCGAGCCGTCGTGCGTGCCGGCGCCGCTTCCGCTACGTCGCATTGCACCGTCGGGCCGTCGGGGGACGCCACCGGCGGTTCGGTGAGGTCATCGCAGCGATTCCTTCTCCGGACAGGCGTTACCAAATTTATGGTGATGGCCTCAGCTTTGACCCCGGAAACGCGCTCTAAAAACTCTACGCTTGTATCGAGGGGGGGCGAGCTGTCTTCGTCGCCTGAGTCTGCTGAGGAGTTTCGCTGTTTCGCGGTTTCGCTGGCGCTGGCGCTGTCATTGTCAAGTCCTTCGCAGTATCGCGTCTTGTGTTTTTTTCCACTGCCGTCTATCTTCCGAATGAATGCATGTTCGGGTTCCCGGTCGGCTTCAAAATCCTCAAACAAGGCTCCAATATTGTCGTCCATGTTACTTGCTCTTAGTCTTAGTATTACTTGTATGTGGACAACATTTTGTGCACTCGATTTGTATTTTTTCGCCGATACTATCCGCAAATGACAACATGGTGGAAACCAAGTGAGCAATCATACATCACTATTATTCCACTATTATCCTAATTTGTGAGTTTTTTTTTAAATGATTTAAAAAATTTAACATTTAATTTATGCAGACATTCTCTTGTGATTTAGTTCTACGTTTTGAAAATTATACGTTATAACTTGGCGATGATGACGATAGTCTGGGGGAAGAATGTATGTGACGTCATGTAGTTTCACGTGACCGTGGCAAACGGCCATCTTTCATATATTTTATGTGTCGTTGGGTTGAATCTTCGACCATTTGGACATTTATGCTGTAAATATAACCACATTAGCTCTTAAAAGCTAGAAATGGACAGATAGACATATTATTTTGTTGAATGTACGGTATTCAATCACGGATGGGTACTCGATACCGCAGAAGATGTGAGTTTATTATCGTTACCTTTTTCTTATATCAATGGCGCGCAACGTAAGCCGCCGCATAAGTCCAATATGGCGGCGCCCATTACTCCTATTTCGCGTAAATTGAAAGAAAAAAATACGATTTTGTTTATAAAGGGCGAGGTTGCTGTAGATTATGCTGTCGTATATACATTAGGTTGATATATCGTATATGAGAAGCGCGTAGCCGAATACCGTGTGTTAATACTACTGCAGTTATTTATATTACTATTAGTTATTACTTTGTGAACCTCACATTTTACTGCTGGGGACAGACACTTCTGCTGCCATCGTCGAACTTCTAGAAGTAGAAGTTCGACGATGGCAGAACGTTAAGTTATAACGACTAAAATATACGATGTCAATCCTTTTGTTATTGTTCAATTGTAACTTGCTACTAATAGTACTATATTAATTTTCCTTGAAAATGTATTTCTTCTCACCACAGCGGCATTACAGTCGTAGTCGCCAAGCGAAATGTTTCCCGGGAACAACAACCGTGTCGCGGGAGAACCGCGTGTGCCACAAGAGGGCGCCGTGAGGCCCACCGTAACGACCGTGGCCCCCGGAGGGATGCAGCAGTTTGTTGTGCAGGCGGGCCCGCGCATAGGGAGCCCCCAGCTAGCGACGCAGACGTTCGTCCTCGCCGCGCCACAGCCGGTCGTCGGTCAGATCGTGCGGACGCCGCAGCCGGCGACACTTGTCCAGGTGTCGTCCCCACAGCAGACGCTGATCGGTCAGGTGGGTGACCCGGTCGCGGTCGCACTTGTCACCGCGATTACATGTTCATGCAGGGGTAGAAATAAGGAGAGAAAAAAGAGATGGACCACAGGACCATCTAGTTTGAAATTATGATGGTCTTCTTAAATTTCAAATTGTTCTCATTGTTACATCATGCCAAATATTTGCTATGGTCAACACTGGATTAGCAATAATCGAAACGTGGAAACTTCAAAGAAAATTATCGTAAAATGGGGCCAAAATATTCAATGGTCTGTCGTACCATTGACTTTGAAAATCTGATGGTCCGCCTGATTATTTTATGGCCCCGGACCCCGCTCATCGGACCATCGCTTATTTCGACCCCTGTCATGTCGAACGTGACAAACCGATGGACCGGTTATGAGGCAGTAATAAACAACTATCATTGTTACTATTACGTATATGTCGCTATCATTACAATCCTAGCACGGCGGTTGTCGCGACTTTAAAGAAATGCATTATTTGCTATTTTATATATGCTATAGAAGTGCTCACAAACTTGTCGTAAATTTCATACTGGAGTGATCGGAAATAGGTCTGCTAATAGTTGAGACGTAATTTGGCTAATACGCTTTTCGATTATTTGGGAGAAGATAAGTTGAAAGTGACCTGCCAGCTACTCTGTGCCTTGTTTCATTACGAGCGGGCCTTGAGAAGGAATGAGTCACGTCTTGTGCAAATATTTGGACGTTTGCGCGGTCGCACATGATCGTGAGTAGCGTATGTGTGTTTGCTGGGGAGCATGACGATAGAATCGACGTGGTTACAGGTGCAGCCGTCGATGAATGCTGGAGTAATCAACATCACCATGCAGAGTCCGACCCGACACAGGCAGGACGGCGGCATAGTGCTGTTCAAAAACACTAATCGGCCTGCGGCTGAGATGGTAGCAGTGTCGACTTCTGTCCAGGTGTGTTTTGTGGGGGGTGGGTGCGTGTCACTGAAAAAAATACACGGTGGCTCGGGGCGATTTAGCCATCGCCCCCCAAATGCCAAAAAGAGCCCCCGTAAATTTGCATAGAGTTCAATGCAAACCAAATTTTAGAGTGCTATTTTCATGCACGCGAGCTTGAAAAGTAGCTCCCGAAAAATAGATTTTTTATTTTTTCCCTGGTGCGTGTGTGTGCGAACGCATGCGTGAATTGCGTGTGGGTATGTGCCTGTGTGCATATAATGTGTGTGTGGGTGTTTTCCTACTGGAAAGGGTGACAGCCACATTTTTTGATAATGCTTTAATGTTCTAATGCAATGTGTAGTTGCAGGGTGTGCTGGGTCAACGTAGTGATGTAGTAACGTGCGTGGGTGGTTGCAGGGCGTGCTGGTCAACGTAGTGATGTAGTAACGTGCGTGGGTGGTTGCAGGGCGTGCCGCGGCGGCAGCAGGGAGTGCTGGTCAACGTAGGACAGCCAGGACTTCAGGAGACGATACCAGGAGGCACCGTCCACCACCACGGACAGAGCCCGTCGCGCGGCGGCGTGCCCCCACTCGCTGTCCCTCACACCGTCACCACGGCAACGACGCAGCAGCAGCGGCGCGCGAGTCCCGTCGCCGCGGCGACCACGTCGCTCGTCGGGCAGCCTCCGGTGAAGCGTCTGAAGTACGAGGAGGAGGAGGAAGAGGAGGAGGAGGAGGTAAAGGATGCGGCGACGCTGCGTGGGCTCGTGCACGAACAGAAGGTGAAGGAGCTTCCCTTGCTGAAGGAGCTGTACAACGAGCACATGATCGAGCTGTTCTACCTGCAGACGGGAGGAAACATGATGGACTACGTCGCGATGAAGAGGAAGCCGACGCCTCAGCTGCTCACCTTCCTCAAGACGAACAAGCTGGACAGCGATGACGAGGAGGAGGAGGTCGTGAAGAAGGAGGTGAAGCTGACGAGCGGAGGGACGGCCGTTGCCATGTCAACGTGCCTGCCTCCCGAGGTCAGCCAGCTAGTGCAGAAGTGCCAACAAGGTGAGGAGAGGGGCAGGGAGGGGAGAGGAAGCAGTGGTAAGGGAAGGAGGGGAGAGGAAACCGAGGTAAGGGAAGGAAAGGGAGAGAGGGAGGGAAGGAAGGAAGGAGGGGAAGGGGTGGGAGGGAAGCGAAGGAGGGGAGAGGAAACAGAGGTAAGGGAAGCAGAGGCAGGGAGGGAAGGAAGGAAGGAGGGGAAGGGGTGGGAGGGAAGCGAAGGAGGGGAGAGGAAACAGAGGTAAGGGAAGCAGAGGCAGGGAGGGAAGGAAGGAAGGAGGGGAAGGGGTGGGAGGGAAGCGAAGGAGGGGAGAGGAAACAGAGGTAAGGGAAGCAGAGGCAGGGAGGGAAGGAAGGAAGGAGGGGAAGGGGTGGGAGGGAAGCGAAGGAGGGGAGAGGAAACAGAGGTAAGGGAAGCAGAGGCAGGGAGGGAAGGAAGGAAGGAGGGGAAGGGGTGGGAGGGAAGCGAAGGAGGGGAGAGGAAACA